CCCCGTCCCAGCTACCGGCCTCCCCAACCGGCGCGCCCTCCTCGGTTCCCTGCGGCACCGCGCGCGGACCTCCCTGCCCGAATTTCGCTGGGCCCGCTGGGAGCGTCACGCGAGACCCGCTCCTTCCTTTATAGTATTAGAGATTAACTGAACTATGATAGCTTATCTGTTTTCTTTTTCCCAGGAGACACCTCAGTTTCTTCCTATACAGAGGGGGGAAGAAGCCGACGCCGTGCAAAGCTGTGATCTTTTGTGCTCTTGGTTTGCCGATGCTGGAATCCGGTCCTGGGGCGTTGCCCTGTGACCTGCTGTAGCAGGAGCGTGAGGCCTGGGAGAGAGATCTGGGGATTTCTTGAGGGAGGAAGGCGATATAGTAGTAATCTAAGGGGCCCTGCGATGACATCCTAATGGGCCGGGTATTGTCTTTGGCAGTGAAAACACGACAGCGAAGGCTGGTATTGGATAGGTTGTCACTGCCTTTGGAGTTCTGTGAATGGTATAGGAGAGGCTAGGAGTAGCTTAGGGAGTAAGAAGTCAGATTTACTGTACTAGAGGTTTTAGTGATTTTTCAGTATCACCGTCATCATCATCACCGCCTTCTAGTGTAGATTACACAGTTTTCTGTCTTAGCCGAAGCCGGGTAATGGCCCCGGTATCTCAAGGATTTCTCCATTAAAAAAAAGCTTAAAAAAAAAAGAAAAAAAGCATCAGTAGGATCATCAGATTTTCATGAGGGACGCTGGGCCCGGTTCCCAGCATGTTCTGATCTACCAACTTAAACCACCAGTACCTTTCCCAGCTATTTTGCCGAGACGCGCCGGGTAACGCGGGAGGCCGGCGGGGTTCGGTACTACCGGACTGAAATGGCCGGTGGCGGCAGCCAAAATGAATCCCGCGCTCATTCGTTTGTTTTTGGGCGCGCAGGGTGATTTTAGGGTCGACATCTATAGCTGAGAAAAGTACTGGTGGTTTAACTATGTTTCTCAGGGGATGCTGGACCCGCTTTCGAACAGGTGTAGCTCCCCACCAATAGACTGGAGCTCCCTGCAGGATAGGTAGGAGTGTATGTTTTTATCATCACTCCTATCTGTTTTTGCGGGCGTTATATCTGTGGGGAGGAAAATAATAATAAAGAAAAATCAACAATCAGAGAATCTGATGGGGAGTATGCACTCAGAGACAAAGTCAAAAATAGATACCRACAGACAGAACAGTCGGAACTGCTAAGCGGAGAGTGCACGGCCATGGTGCCAACTGGCTCTTTTTTTTTTTTTGGGGGGGGGGGGGAACAAATGCTCCAGTCTATTCGTGGGGAGCCATGGTGCCAGCTGGCTCAAGTACCTCACAGCAAGACATAGCATGGGAGGGAATTGACGGGCTGCCGGTGATCATACAGGAGCTTGACAGTATGATTGGTGGGGAACAACATGAAGGGCCCCTGATGATTGCAGGGTCGGAATACTTGGTGCCTCAACACCTCCTCAGGCCCCTCCATATAAAGACTGCCCAGGACACAAGCACCACAGCGCCTGCAGCTCACACCCAACAAGCAACCACACACTCAGACTTAGATCAGGAGTCCGACCCCGAGGATGATAACAAAGGACAAATATCCAGCCCGGACAATAGCTCGGAGTCCGAGTTCGAATGGGATATCCCGGATGTAGTCACAGTGCAATTCACCCCTGCAGACAACTATCAGGTACACAGGCTCCTACTAACTGGATGACAGCAACAGATGGAGGAGACAAACGCCGACATGGGGATGGCTCTGGGCATGCCAGGACCCTCCCTGGGCCTGGTTGCAGGCGAGCCAGGGATCACCCTCCTAAAAGATTATCTCAACACCCCAGTGGGGCCGGCTTCCCCCCCAAACGGTATGGTCAGCAGGGGTGGTTATCCTTTTCCTCAGAAGGGAAATGAGGGGGCAAACTGGTAGTTGGGGCTCGTCCCAACCCGCAAAAGGTCCCCAAACTGGCCACTAAGGCCCAAAGTGGGGATCCCCTACAGAGCTTCACGTTACAAGGATGGAGAGGACAGCTATCCCATATCATGACAACAAATAAGCTCAAGCTTCACACAATACAAAATGGGGATGGCAATTCCATCGGCACTGTCTTCCCACAAGATCTGCCATTTCTGAAACGGGTGACCCCAAGTATCCTGCTGTTCCACATGAGTGACAAACACCACAAGGGGGCTCTCAAGTGCACCGGATGTCACAGCACCAACTGATGAACATGCCAGCTGCAAAGCTGAGATCTAATATGATAACAGAGGAGCAGATTCTCTTCCTCCGGATCCTCCTGGAGGAAGCAGCCTTGGACGCATATCAACAGTGGGAGTGGGATGACCCGGCCCAGAACGGAGATTGGCGCGGCGCTGTGAATGGAGCGGCAGGTTCGCCCGTGACCGCAGGGACGAGAGGCCGCCCTCGGTGCTGCATCGGAACGCGTGGGTAGTCCCGCGGGCACCCGATTCTACCTGTGCTCCACGGAGCAGCGGCCATAGCTGGCCACGGGCAGAAGGGTGCAAGTAGCCAGGGATTCGGAGAGGCGAAAGCGACCAACGACCAGTGAAGGCAAGCGACGCGGCGATGAAAAATAACGTGACATGGCGGAAGAAGAAGGGACGCACTGCGAGGTGACGTGTCGGTAGGTCAGGGGAGGAAGTGAGGAAGGAAAACCAGGGGGGGGGAGGAACCTTCCTTACATAAGGATCATAGCAAAGAGAGGAGCGGTCGAGGGAATAACAGTGTGAGGGAGAGGAGAGAAGAAGAAACAAGAGAAGTCGGACATCGAGGGACAAGTAGCAGACATAGAAAGAGCAGCAAGCGAAAGCAGAGAAAGCTTTGGGCACTCGACAACTTCCTTTGGGGCTCTGGGGGGCCATAACCCCCGGTGAAGGAAGCGGTGACGCTCGGAGGTTTGCGACCTCGAATCATGTCCAACGACGATCCCCCTCTCTTTTTCCACCTCTTTCTCTCTTCCCTCCCTACCCTTTTTTTCCTCTCCCCACTGCCCCCCCCCCTTCCTTCTCATCCAAACCTCTTTTCCTCGTCCCCTTCCCCCCCATCTTGTCCCGTTCACCCCACCCTATCCCCAATCCCGTATCCCATTCTGATCTTGCCCATATACCTTCCCTCCCATTGCAGATCCCCGTTCCACCCTTGCCCTGTCCCGACCCGACACCCTTTCCGATCCGGTCTAATCTCGTCCCATCCCGGCCCGTAATCCCGATCCCACCCGCCCCACCCAGCCCGACCTTCTCGGCCACGTTCTAACCCTGCCCCCCGTCCCAACCTTACCCCATCCCGACCCGTCACCGTTCTGATCTCGTCCCATCCCGGCTCGTAACCCCGATCCCGCGCCGACCTTGCCCTATCTCCTTCCCCGATCCCCGGTCCTGTTCCGGCCCGCCCGAACCCGCTCCGACCTCGTCCTATCACGACTCCTGTCCCTCTGCCCGCCCGGTCATCGCCCCCCTCTCGATCCATTTCATTCCAGTGTCCCTCCCGAAACTGGTTTGTCGATCCCCGTTCCGTCCTCGCCCCCGCCCCGACCCCGCCGACCCTGACCTTCTCGGCAAGGTCGGACCTCCCGCTCCGACCTCGCCCTATCCCGACCCGGCTCCGACCTTGCCCCATCATGACCCGTGTCTCTCTTGATCCCTTTCTGCCCACCCGATCATCTCTCGTTCCCCTTCTGCCCCCCCCGATCGCCCCGCCCCTCGATCCATTCCATTCAAGTGATCTCTCCAGAAACCCGCCTGTCGATCCCCGTTTCGTCCTCGCCCTATCCCGACTCGACACCCATCCCCGTTCTGGTCTCATCCCATCTCGGCCCGTAACCCCGAGTCCATCCCCCATTCCAATCCCGTTCTGATTTCGTCCTATCCCGGCCCGTAACCCCAATCCTGTCCAGACCCCGCCCATCCCGACCTTCTCGGCAAAATTGGACCTCCCGTTCCGACCTCACCCCATCCCGACCCATCACCCTTCCCGATCCCATTTTGATCTCGCTCCATCCCAGCCCGTAATCCCGATCCCGCTCCGACCTTGCCCCATCCGCCCCTACTCCGACCCGCCTGAACTTCCCTTTCTGCCTCGTCAGCCATCAACCCCCCCAGACTCACCTCCCCTATCCTCCTCGACGCACCCCCATCTCGATCCCCTTACCCTCATCGACGCACCCCCCTTGATTCATTCCCCGATCCAAGCCACTAGAAGAATACGGGAGATTCGATCTGGGGAAATTAGGAACCAGACGAGTATGTATGAGTCGATAGTCTCTTTTACAAAGGCAGCAATCGTCTTTAACCCACGCGTGAGCACCGATCACTGAGCACAGATTCGTCACCCCCCCTCAAAAAAGGCATGGCGAGCTTTAAAAATGAGGCCAGGAAGGAAAAAGGGCAGCCAAGGACAATCAGGCATCAGGGTGCCATAGGTCACCACTCGTCGGATTGGCGGCCTCAATGCGAGGAAGGGAGGAGGGAGGATGTGACCATGGCAGAAGCATCCTCCTCCCACTGGACAACCTGACCACAGCATCAGCCTTCTTCCTTGCAAAAATCTTAGCTAATCCAAAAGATAAGATAATCAGCCAAAGGGGGGAAAAGCAAAGGGTAAAAGCACTCTCAGGTGATATGATCAAAGAAAGGGATGCAATATACACTCGTCACACGAGTACATGGGTCATCTATGACGCCGCCGCCTACAAGTCTACCAACGATAAGGCAGGGTGGATCAAGAAACGACTCACAACCCTCAAAGGATCTGAAGAGGGCGCACGAGACTTCTTCCTAATCCAGCCTATCTCATCAACGGTAGTCACGGTAATTTGCATGTTTGATTCGGACAAGAGAATCATGGACACATGGCGGAGCATACCCTGCGGGCGTTCGGAGGTCCGGATGTTCCCCTGGTCTCCCCCGAAACAAAAAAGACTAAAGGAAAAGAGGGACCAATTAATGTCTGACCATTATTGGGTGGAATTTCGTCATGTGCCCATTGAAATCCAAAAGGCCTTTGTGCAAGAACTAGCCCAAAAATACGAAATTGTTGACTTCATCGATCCTTTCCCACCCCACGTAGCCCCAAGAGATGATTACCTCATGGTTGTCCTCGATCTACCGAAAGGTCACATCTTCACCATTGACGACGTGATCCTCTTCCGAGTAGGAGGGAGAGACTTTAGAATCCACACGGCACATAAAACAAGACCCTAGTGTTTTAAATGTCAGGCATATGGCCACCTCTTGACGGAATCTGACTGCCCCCACCACCCGGCCAAAAGGATTAGATCCACAGGGTGCCTACTACGTGACCCTTTCAAAGACACCTGGTGGAGAACGGTCGACGCGGGACACGAAGGATAGGTACACGTGGATGAGCCACGAGAGGGAGGTGGGGTGAGGGGATGGGGATGGGGATGGGAAAAAGGGGAAGTCGTGGAATGGAATACCAAACCTCCAGATCAATGGATCCCCCCAAAACCAGTGGAGGAACATATGGGCGAGACTGTCAACCCCCCTCCAAGGAAACGAAGATACCGGCCCATAGATAACATACCAGCTGCGAAGCAGGGGGGACTAAGCTTTGAATTGAACCCAGGCCTCAGGACTTCATCACCCCAACGGATCTGGGAGAACTATGGCAATCCCCGACCCCAAAGAAAAAGGCACACCCCAGCAAGCATGATAAAATACAGAACCAGAGCAAGAGAGGTAGCCCTAACAAATCAAAGAACAGATTCGAAGCCATCGCGAACACTTCAGAAAACGGGGACAAACAGTCAACCGTCACAGTGGGGCAAAATGAGCCAATCGGAGGGGAGGGGAAAAACAAGACACAAGAAAGGGCAAGGGACAAGAGGGGAAAATATGGGGGGGGGGGGGGAAGGAAAGGAAAAAGGAAAGGAAAGGGAAGAGAATCAGCCGAGCCTCAGGGGAGGCAGCAGCAGCGGACCCTTCCCGAGTGATTCAGACCTCGCAAGAACAGCCCCCCAAAATGGACTCTTCCGGAAACACCCCAGCCATAGGGGATACACTCTCCACAACGGACCCTTTCTTTCAGGCGTTCGGACCCCAACCCATGGATTGGAAATTACGGGGGGGGAACCCTGATGAGGAAATGATGGACAGCACACCCAAGGCTTGGGGGTCACAAGGGGAGGAGGATGTCGAGACCAAGCTAAGGGGCCTGGCGGAATGGCTAATTAGCCATCTCCAGACATTGTATACAGGCCAATCAGAGGCATATTGGGACGAGGCCTATGTACAACTGTTTTCCCTACTAGACGAGAGCCCCAGTCTAAAACAAGCCCCGGGGCAAGGCCTATCCCCGGACCTGGATTGGCAACTAGTGTTGCGTAGAGTCTAGAACATCGTACACCAAAAGTTTCAGCCCCCCGAAACGGCAAAGACACCTAACCAGCCCGAAGTATCAAATCAGGCTGACAGGACATCTGATCTGCCCGAAGGCACTACCAACCCAGGCCATATAGACAAACCCACCCCTCTCCCTCCTGACAGTACACAACCGGCTATGCACATAGAACAAACTGAACAAGGGGATGAGGAAGGTGCAAGAAATGCACAGGAAATAAGAATCTCCAAACGATTAAAAATACGGCATCTCATCGAGAAGAGGTTGTACCACAAAAGTCTACCGACAGGGGACAAAGTGCTGGTACTTCCAATCAGGAGGAAGACGGGAAAATGGGAACTTTGTCTGTCACCTACTGACTCATAGGACTCATACGCCCCGTCCTACGGAGGGATGATGCTGCATGGTGGCACATGAAAAGGGAGGGGACACTGAGAGTCCACGAGGTCGCAGACTTTATCACAAATCAATATGAACCAGGGGCAATGGCCACCATCAGCGTATCATTGGAAAATTTGAAGATGGCCTATAAAGATATCTACGTGAGATTTTAGGACAACAAGGAAGCAGGGCTGCAATAACTTACACACAACTTGCTTTTAGACACCTAACAACTAAAAATTAAACCTAGTAACATTTGGTCGACGGACGATCTACTCACCTGTATATGCACAATACTGAGGAAGAACATTCTTAACAGGGGAGTAGACTGGGAAGCACAGGATTGGTCACCATTTCAAATCAAATAGTGGGATGGGTAAGGGAACTCACGTTCTTTAATGGACTGGGTGGAAGTGGTGTATGGTAAAAACAAAAAGTGAAAACACACCCTTCAGCAGACAGATTTTGATATTCGATCGATTAATGTAAATGGTCTAGCATCCCGCAACCTGGAAAAAAATAATGCGTTGTGGGACCTAATGCGGGAGGTGGGGGGAAGAACATGGTCGGATATAATTTGCGTCCAGGAAACCCACTTAATGGACACACCAGAACACCACAGGGCGCACAAGCAAGTTTGGCCCTTTCAAGGATACCAAGTTTTTGCCACTACTCCAGGGAGTGTCGGGGTAGTATATGGATTCTGTCCGAATCACGCTTCGAAGTACTCAACTGGGAACAGGATAATGTGGAAGGACAATGGGTTAAAGTGTTGGGCATGCTGGAGTTAGAAATAGTATGCATTGTATCCATCTACACTCCTAATACTCCCCGAGAAAGAAGGGTTTTTTTCGAAAAGATCGAAATGATCCCCACCCCAGATATTCCGGTAATCTTAGCAAGAGATTTCAATGCCACACCGGATAGATGGCTGGACCGTTGGAAAACTTCTCCGACTACCGCACACAATGCTGAGGAGGACAAGAAGATGCTGAGGGATTTGTGTACCCCCCTCTCACTTTTTGACACCTTCAGGCATAGCCACCCGACCGAAAAGGCCTTTACTTGTTTACGAAAGAATAACCCCGACAGACTATCAAAATTTAGAATAGATCTAATCCTGGCGTCAGAAGACTTGGGTGGAGGGCTTACCATGGCAGCAATACTGTCAATCAGCCGCACCCAGGCCTAGACCACAGGATGTGTATGGCAGTCTGGACCATCCGGAAACAACAAGATCAGGGGGCCAACTACTATAAACTCAACACCTTCCTGCTCCAGTCTATAAATCATTCCAGGAGTACCTACAACAGGTTTGGAACTTTTGGAAGGATCACCGCTGCCAACAAGACTCTCAAATTGCATGGTTTAACAATGGATTGTTTTTTTTTACGAAAAAATGCAATGAATATTCCAAATATATAGTTGCACAACGATACCAACAAGAAATGACGATAATGCAAAACCTCATGGACGTTGAACAAAAACAAGTTTCGCAAGGGCAGGAACCAACCTTCGACAAATTACAAACTCAAATACTAGAGCTAAAAGCTCAATTCTTGAAGTATGCACAGTATCGATGACAGGGAGCCCAAATAAGGTCAAGGCTATCCAGACTCTCAACCGAAGGAATGATTAATGCTCACTTTTTCGGCCTAGCTAGGCCACATTTCAAAAGGACAACGATCGAGGCGCTCTACGAACCACAAACCATGGAATCGAATTCGGTCGTGTCCATGGCCCGTTGCACCAAGATAACATATGACTTCTACAAAGACCTTTTCACCTCGCATGTTGACAGATCAGACTCACTGTACCACGATCGTCAACTAAAAGAATTTTTGGAACCAGTAAATAAATCATTGACATCTGAACAGCAGATTCTTTAAAAGCCCCAATCTCCAAGCAGAAAATTTGGACCGCCCTCCTGCAAATGAAGGAGGAAAAGGCATCAGGGATTGATGGCTTCCCCAAAGAATTTTGGGAGACCACATGGGACTTCTTGAGTCAGGACATCATGGACTTCTATAAAGAAGTATGGCTCACATGCGAGATGGGTGAAAGGGTTGGGCAAGGAGTATTGACCCTCCTATATAAAAAAAGGGATAAAATGAATATTAGAAATTACCGCCCTATCACACTTCTCACAGTAATATACAAAATGTTGTTTAAAGTCTTAGCTAACAGAATGATCTCTATAATAGAAGACATCATCCATCCCTCTCAAACTGGTTTTGTGGAGAACAGGAA